CATGGCACACTTGTTAGCCACACTTGGAAGTGTCAGCAGGGCTCAGGGGCTGTCTGCTGGGTCTCAGGAGGTAAGAAATTATATTCTCATTAAGACAGGCATACTGCAAACAAAATGGGGTGCCTATTTCTCTAAGTAACCTATGGCAACTTTAAAGAGGATGGTGCCAGATTCTTTACTGTGTTGCCCTGTGACAGGATGAGGAGCAATGGCCATAAACAAAAACACACGAAATTACACCTCAACATGAGGAAGAGTTTCTTTACCTTGAGAGTAGCAGAGCACTGGAACAGGTTGCTCAGGGAGGTTGTGGAGTCTCCCTGTCTGGGACAGAACCCCTCTGGAAGTGTTCCTGTGTAACCTGCTCTAGGGGACCCTGCCTGGGCAGGGGGGTTGGACTTGATGATCTCCAAATGTCCCTTCCATCCCTAAGAATTCCACAATTCTGTGAAAAATAGCTTGCAGTAGCAGAGAACAATTTTTTTTTATATTATACCTTTGATATTTTCCCTTACTTTCTTATTTGGCTAAACGATGACTACGCTATTAAGCCATAAAATTAAACTCAATTGACACAGCACACATTTACTTTGTAAATTTTTATATTCTGTAATTTTTTGCTTTTTTAATTGAGGTTCTATGTAAGGTGGAGTTAGAAGGAAAGTCTGAAAAGTGATGCAAACCCAGTTTCCAAATTAAGCACAATGCTAAGGTCATTTTTCATCACTCATTGAATGTCAGCTCTTCAGAAGTCTCTCTGCTCAAAATAATCTTTGTCTATTAACTTCCCTTAAATACTGCACCCAACAAAGCCTCATAATTACTTGACACATACTTTCTCCTTTAATGAGAGTTAAAGCTTACAATGACATCAGCCTGTTCTATTTGTCTGAGACTTGCAAGCCAGATGAAGTTTACTTACTGAGCATTGCAACCCAGCCAAAATTCAGGGCTGCATAGAACAGTATGTTCTGGCCCTAATGCCTTGCCAGTTTTCAATGAAGTGCTTGACAGAGACCACATGTGGAGGTCAAGTGATGCTGTCATGATCTCACCAGATGGTAAGTTGTGGTATCATTCCCGAGGCAGGTAGTATAGTCTGTTCAGAAACAGTTGGCAGGTGAACCATGAACTCACAGCCAGAAGCAACTGGATTATTCCGAAAGATCAAGAACACTATTGATGCTGGCAAAAAGACTATTCCAAGATTTTTTCTTGCACATAATTCAAGGATTCAAGTCTCAAGACATATGTTTTCTTGAAAAAAAAGGAAGTCCTCCTGCCAAACAAATCTTGCATTTTTGCATGATTATTATGCTATGTATGTTAAATTGTAATATAAAGACACTGTAACCTCACCTTGCTTGTGTTCTTGCATATATTAACCATCACCAGATCACTCCAGCTTTGATGTCAATTCAGAAGTTATAGCTACAAAGGTTATAGTGCAGGACTAGACTATTTTTGAAAAAAACAACAAAAAAAGAGACCATGGAGGAAGCTTACAAAATTTTATAATTACATTCTCCAGCCCCGCTAAAGTAACAGCCTATCCAAATCAAACTGTGAAGCACTCAGCATTTCACAAAAATCCAACCTTCATTTAAAGCAGGTAAACAATTTAAATCACCACTGAACTGACATTGCTTCTACTTCCCAGATAAAGTTGCAAAACCCCTATTTCTGAAACTGCAAAAAAACAACACAGTGGATTCTTCTTACAATGTAAAAAGACATAATTTTACAGCAGACCTCAAAATTTTAAATTCTTCTGGTGCAAAACCTATTAATTGACTGTGAACATTATCTGAGTAAAGATATTCTCAAAGGGGTGTTGCAAAATGAGTCTCATCTCCAGCTGCACTTCTGAGAGGCTGTACATTCTTAAAAACCTCTACTGAAATTCTGAACTACCATCTAGTTTCAACTAGCCAAGCTTCAGGAAAAAATATAACCAATTGTTGTTAATTGTTTCTTGACTGAGAAATCTCAGATTCCTTTTAAATTATTCATCACACTGTGACACCTTAGTCTATTTAAAATTACAGGAAAAAAAAGTTGAAAGAAAAGGAGGGACAAAAAAGGCTGCTGGAAAACAAGTTGACTGCCTAAAAAGAGAGCTGCCTAAAGATTAAAATTATTAAAATGTTTTCTGCCACTTTTTTTTATTATTTTTTAATGAGACACATGGTGCTAGTAAATAAATGTGCAGCAACATGAAGTTGAGCATTAGGAGCAATAAAGAGGATGGGTAGAAATTTGGACTGAAACAACAGAATTTCTTTAGAGGCACAGAGAAGAAAATTCTGTAATACAGTAGTAAATACAACATACCTTGTACTCTGATACTCTTTGAAGATGTTGAGCAAGTAGTCACTACCCGGTATGTATCATTTAAGCTGTAGTTTTTAATAACTACTTTAAAAGAAATAATGTGTTTAAGTGTGCACACACCAGAATTAAATTTGGAGTTTTTCCTATAATAAAAAGAAGTATAAATTACTCCCTTTCTCTAGCAGCTTTTTTTAGCCTTCCTAAATTTCATGCTTTACATGATAGCAAGATAAGCCTTCAGCCATCATTGCACTTTACTCTTTTCTTTTAATTTGGGCCTGCATCATTTATCCAAACCAAAGTGCAGCTGTTAGCTAAATTAAGCATCCAAACTGCACAGCAAACATTATCTGATGTGCTGTCTGCTGGCTTCATGTTTGCCATCCGATTATTGTTTTATAAGACATGAACAAGTCTGGATATTTCTCTTTCTGAGAATGAACTGAATGACATTTTTAAAGCTCTTTAAAAATAAACAAAACACCTTCAAAGTGGAAATGAGTTTCTGAGTTTTAATTTCTTAGTCATTTACTGTGGTATAGGGCGTTTTAAAAACCACAGATTTCTTTTGTTACTCACTCTTGTTTCTACTAATTTCTAATTTCTACTAAAGGTTCTGTACACCCTTGGTAATGGTCTCTACTAGGATAGGATAGAAATAGCCAGGTTCAGTTCCAGTGGAAATATGAAATATATAAAACTTTTCAGGTAAATGATTGGCTACAGAGACAATTGTTTCTATAAAAAATAATGTAAGTCATCACAAAATTTTATGTCTGTGAAGGGCGACAGTTTGTACTTGGCTTTTTTGACCAGGCTATTATGTGAAAGTCATTAGGAAAAGCTCCACCCTTACATACTCCTAAAGAAAATATTGTGTGGTCCTTCAAGCAAAAGTAGGTAGACAGAGGGAACACCCAAACACATTGACTTTCTATCTCCTGAAAGGTAGAAATATCATCCTTTTCTGAGTAAAACAATAGCCCTGTCACTGCCCAAGGCAAAAGTGTCTTAATAGTTCCTTCCTCAGAGGACCTGCAACCTAGAGAATATATCTGGCATGCACCTGGATCTGATACAGATTTGAAATGCAAAGGGATCACATCTTTCATGCTGCTTTGTATTTTATCAGTGAAAGCATATGTCCTGTCCACTGGACATCACCCATACATCTCCCAGCCACCTGCAATATGAGCTGTATAAGTACGTCTCAGTATCTTGAGATGCAGACCAAGGGGCCTGCAAATATAACCCTCAGAGTCCGGTGGGGCTCTTTGATACTGAAGTTACACTACGAAGTCATAAAATGCATACCAGGCAATTTGCTTTAGGGTTTATGGTGCAAAATTCTTATTGGTCCTATGATTTACTGGCAAAACTTCTAGCTTCATTCTGCAAATGCAGTTTTACACTTAGGAGCACAAAAAAGAGACTGATGAATGAAAATAGCAATCAGAGGCAGCTGTTTCTGTTTTTAATGACAAACATGTTTTTCTGGTCATCAAATTACCACTGATAAGAAGACCTAGTGAAGTCATTGTGAATGCTGCCAGTGACTTTTCTGGAGTGACATCAGATCATATGAGACAATTACTTGGGTACGACTCTCTTCAGTATTCTCCAAAAATAGCTGCATGTGTTAGATCAAGGGTTCTGCTCAGGCTTCTTTATCAGACTGTGGCAGGTACCTACAGGACAGCAGAAGGGGAAAGGTATGTTCAATACTACCTTCTTCCAAATAGTTCTGTGGTCAACAACCATCTTCATTTTAGGGACTTCCTGGTGTGATTTATCCTTCAGAATTCATAATGGATTTGTCTTCCTTGCAGCATTTGTTCAGACTCCTCTTAGGCTCATGACTTTTAGTGTCCATAACAACCTTGGTGGTCCAGTTCAATGAAGACCCACATGCTTTGACTTTGGGAGTTTGCCTGTTTCCTATTAGCTCCAAATGCTCCTGTAATGGCTGGATGAAAAGCCAAATCCTTATCCATAGGCTTCAGTCACTTTTTCAAGATGAAGAATCATAGTTTAGTTAAGTTGCACCACTGACCCTGTACTAAACTACTCCACACCTTTGATCACCCTTGATGTCCTTCCATGAGTCTCATCCTATTCTGTAATATCCTTAATGTAATTATTATGTGTATATATATTTATATATATACAGTAATATTATATATATATATACTGTAATATATTATTATTATATATATAACTCTGTAATATACTGTTTTAGTATTTAAGATGGCATAAAAAAGCTCACAATGTAGGGGTGATAATAAAGCTATCTTCCTACCCTTTTTGTCTCTCCTAAAATACTCTGAATCTGATTTGCTTTTTTGATTGCATTGAACTTTCAGACGACATTTTTCAAATAAAAATGTCTTCTGATTCGAAGATCTTCCAAGTCAGTTATTGCCAGCTGAGAGAGAGATCAGTATCTTAAAAGGTCTTAGGGAAAATTCAGAGTGGCCTTTTCTCAAGAATACCGCTTCACCCTTCCCCCACACTGAATTTAACTATTTTCATCTGCAAGTGCTCCCAGCACTCTCCATCTCTTAAGGTCTTTCATCTGTTGCTCTTCGTACTCAGTCTTATTCATTGCTTTCCAGATAACTCAAGTAGGAGCAACAACATTCCTCACTTTATTGTTTGTTTTTCAGGTCACTTCTTAATGTGATCAACAGGGATGGTCAAATACTCCAAGGCTGCTGCAACATTTCACCACTAGATGAGAAGATCATTTAGTCCTAACCTGCAATCTCTCTTTTCTTTTCTTTAGTGTCTGCTATTTAAGAATAAGATGACCTTATTTATTATGAAAGTTAGACTTGGTTTCCTTATGAAATTCTTGATGAGGGAACTTGGAAGCTTTTTGTGGAAACCCAGACAGACTGTATCAGGCAGATCACACCCATCTGTTTGCTGAAAGCATCAAGAGTACTGTAAGGGACTTGTAATGCAGTGCTTCTTTTTTACTAAAGCTACATTTACCCTATTCACTATCTTTATAAAGATATAAACTGGTTAAATTCTCTATTATATTTGTTGTAACTTTTCCAGCATATAAACCACCTAACGAAGCTTGGGGTTTTTTTTATTTCACTTACACTTTCCAAACAGCAACTACATCTTTCACCTATTTTCTCTGAATTTCTTTGTGGAAACCCAGTATGTGGCATTAGCAGCACTTAGCAGTATTGTTCAGTAATTTCTCTGTTTCTTTGCTCCACACAGAAGAAACAGACTTACTACAGAGACAGTTATTCTATACGATCTTTCCCATTTCAGATAGCATTGCAGTCTCTGGTGAATTATCTTGAGAATACTTCACACAGCTGCTGCTCAGACAAAGGAACTACAGCACGCTCCTTAGACAAAGAACTGAAATGCACTCATTTTCTCTGTTATTGGACAAGCTTGATGATCATTATCTGTCTGTGCCAGCAACCTTAACCTGTGAAAAATGTAAAGCCAGATTCAAGTGTTTTACCATCCCAGACTAACAGGCAACTCTCTGGCCAAAGAGTATGACAAAATAAAATATTTCTATATGGTTCCATGAACAGAGTAAAAAGACCCCATGATAACCATAAACACTCAACATCCATAGATAATCCTAAATGAAATAAATCCGTTTCTAACTAAAATGTCAGGTAGAATGACTGAGAAAAAAGGACAAAAAATAGATACTAAAAGCCTAATGGAAAATTTTTGTAGTTACCATGAAGTATTTCTAGCCAAAATAAGCAATTGCTACATGAATTTGATGTGAAACACAGAAACAAATAAAACAAATAAAATCTCCATTATTAATTGGTTTATCAATAATTATTCATCTGTATCAACAAAGAGAGACACACAGCTACACTTTGACCTTATCAAAATACTGCCCCATGCCAACTGTCTCAATAGTCCTCAGCCTCTTGATTTGGGATCATACAGCAGTAAAATGTGCACTCCAGCACCCAGTAACCAAACTTTAATACAAAAAACTAGCTTCCTTCTTTAAGGCTTACATAACTTGGGCATTTGAACAGTGTTCTAGAGAAAGAGCATCTTTAATAAAGATTCAATATCACAAAATGTTGTTGAGAGATATCACATATTGCCTGAAAATTCTAACAAGTCTGCCACAAAGACTGGAGAATATCACAGCTAACACTCGTGACATACTCAGTTAATGAACAAAGGCAAAGACACTTCTAAAAATAACATGCAGCATTTACATTTCAGGCCTCTGTGCACAAAAAGAAAATCTAAATCAGAGCAATTGAAAAGGCATATAAACTCAGTCATTAATTAACTTTAAATCAACATTTTGAACAAATTAAAAAGTCTGTTAAGTGTTCCCTCTCCTCCTGAATAAATCCTGCTTTCATGTTCTCAGGGAACTTATAAAAACCTGAGAAGCAACCTAGAAGATACAATAGGTTGTAGAAATAAAAGACACATTTTGAAAAACAGCTTTTTCCTACAGCAAAATCTGATTCATTGCATCCTTCCTCAGAATGTGAAAAAATGTATCTGTTATTCTCAAAGGAGATTTCTGGATGCCCCACAGAAAAAAAACAAACCCCACAAAGCAAAATGAAAATACATTCACAGAACACTTAAGGGAGAAAGGAAATGTGTCATAAGAAAAAGGTTGAGAAGACCTCACCCAGAAGACCTTTGAATCAAGAGAAACCTCCCTTCCTCTCTAAATTATGATAAAAAAAGCATGCATTCATATCTTGTTGACTTCTAGTGGACATTTCTGGTTTAGGTGTAACCTATGAAAGGAAGATAAGTAATCTGAAGTCATCCACCCTTTTGCTGGATTCTGGGCTTCCTATTAAAACAGAATGCATCTGTCACATGCCCCCCCATGAACTGCTCATTACATTGCATCTTATACACAAGCCGTGAAATAAAGTACAAGGTAGAAGGAATGAAAATACCTATAGCATAAACATATCCTCCTGAAGTACAAAAAACGAACCCTTCCTTCAATTATGACTTCAATTATGACTGCAATACTTTCTTAAAATAATAGGATCTACCGACCAGGTAAAACTAAACTAATTTGAAACATTTCCTCCTGGGACTCAGGACTCTGATCAGAGTTAAATTTAGACAATAGTAAGTTACAGGAGATGCACAAAAGAAGAAAAGAAGCCGGTATGAGCTCCTTCTAGAGGTGCTGTTAACTAAGTGGGTTTTAGACAGATGTCTACAATAAATCTCAGGTCTATAAGAAGCCATGGTTTCAGCTATGATTCTTCTGTCCCTCAGCTTCCCAAAACTGCAGTGCCTGCTGGTATCACACTTCTCTTATAGGATGACGATTCCCACGGCCCAAGAAAATTTGTGAGGAAAAAAAGGCTGTCATCCACACACAGGTTCTTACTCAAGAAGAAAAAACAGCTCTTTCTCAGACAGAAAGCCAAGTGCAGAAGTATTACTATTTAAAATATCAGATTTATTATAAATATCCAGAGAAAAAGCAGATTCAAGACTCAGAGGGCACACAGACAGAGAGCTCTGCTGCTGGCATCCATATTGACACAGATGTACATGGCAAGAACTTACTCTACACTGTTCTACAGGATGTGTGCTCATGGCTTTAAGGCTTAATTTGCAGCCACAGGGAAATACGTTATTTTGAAAACCTGAGGAGAACAACAGTAACAGTGTGATTTCATATCAGTCAAGATTATCCTTGCAGCCAGCTAACCACAAATCCATGGCATTAGATTATAAAGAAGTAAGGCGGATGAGAGGTTATAACTTTGTGCAAACATGCATGAAAGATAACTGTGCAAAAACCCTCCTCCGCTGGGGAGACATTAGTGGAAGAAATGCTTGCTTTGCTCAGATTTTTTTGTATTAGCAACCTCAATTTAAACTCCTTTGGTGACAGAAGGTGGCACACTGAAAAATAATATGATATTAAAATCATAGTGGCCAGATACTGAGTTGCTGAGCAACCAGACGTAGCTTCTGACATCTTAAAAGTTCAGAAAACATCAAGCTCCAAAATCAGCTTCCTAATTATGGACAGCTGAGCTAACCATTTCTAAAAATCTTGGCCACTGTTTTAAAATACATCTTACTTCTAAGGAAGACTATGAGTCACAGGTCCAAGTAGTTTCCAAGTCCACACCTGTAGCATACACATACACAGATGGGAAATTTAAGAACTGAAAATTCAGGAACTGATTGTAAAGATTTGGCTAAGTTTACAGTTTAATAACAATTTGAAAAAAAATAGTATGTTATTATTTCACTATTAAATTATTAATACATTTCTTTTAATGCCTTTCCTTTATTTTTACTGCTTAAACATTATTCTGTAGTTCTTGCTGGCAGAATGAATTCCAGGTATGTTTTCACTATATACTGTGCTCATTTGCAGTGTCATTTCAAGTGTTTCAGGGTTGCCTGTAGATGGGTACAAATTCAATGGCTTCCAGAAAGGACATTTCACTGGAGTATTTTTCCTCCTTTTGACACACTTGCTAATATGCTCAACCAAACAGGGAGAACCTAAGGTATCAATCCCTGGTGTATTCTATTTATTTGGTTTACATATAAAAGAACAGTAAATAATACTGTAATATGAATTCTGCTGTGAGAAAGGCAACCCTACCAAAAGCATGAAAATGCTACTAAATGGATAGGATGCCTAACCCAGGGTCCTGCCAGCTCTGTATCGGAGAGGAGAGATCATCCTGTGTGGTGGTCAGTATAAGAGAATATGCCATAAGATGGAAAAAACGTAGCAATTACTGAAAATGTCTTCTACATAAGCAAGACATTTGGCAAATTTTTAGTGTATTGTATTTTCTCCAGGAAAAATATGAAAATTTAATTTATGCTTGTGCACATTATAATGATTGTCTTAAAGCCAAACTTCTCATTGAGGAGTAGAATTGGTTTATTTTAACTGTGGACAATGGGAAAGAAAACTGCCAGAAATTATGAGAGTAAGCCTGTGGCTCTTTTGCCTTTTTGTTCAGGTGAGTAAGACTCTTCAATGAATAAGCTATAATTGGTGAGAACATACCAGCCTTGATCAAACACTGGGTACAAGAATTCTGCTCTAAAACATGGTTTGGCCAATAATTCAGAGTCAATAACCATCCTCAGAAACCCAACTTTGAGATGTAAATGGAGAAGAGAGGAATGTAATAGGCAGGGCAAACCCCCGCAGTATGCTATATATCTTTGTTTATAGCAACATACAGGAGACTACATAAACAAGCAAATAAACCTGAAAGTTATGTTGGTACATTACAACATTCTAAAAGTGTGAGTCCAATTCTTCATCTGTATTAAAAACATCAATCCTTTTTTTTTTTTTTTAATTTAAGCCACTGTCTTGCCACATAACAACTACAATTAAAGTCTGTTGCACAAATGGTAGAATACTGTGTCTGGTACGTCGTTCTATCATTCTATTAGTACAGGAATTTGACTGGCTGGTAAAAAAATCCCTGATGCCTCCTGTTACATTTACAGTGCTTCTGTTATGAAAAGGGTAGCAGCTGAAATAACACACAGCTCCTTTATCACAGTCTACATCTTGTATTTCTGACATTTGAAATTGATGCCAGAGCTTTTTTACTCATGAAGGCAAGTCATGGTGACTGAAGAGTCACCATCTAACTCTATGTTGTCTCCAAAAAACCCCATGAACTTCTTCTGAATAAACCACTGCATTTTATAGCCAAAGATCTTGAAGAAATGCTCAAGGCCAACTTTATCACATCCCTCACTTCAGTTTCTGTATTTCCGCATACATGTTAAAAAACAAAAACAGTTTACTTCCATAAACTAATCTTCCAGTGCACAATACTCTTGACTTCCTAGAGACTCAAATAACTCTATTGCACAGTTCTTTCAGGTTCTTCCAAAAGATTATTTTTTCCAAGAAAAACACACTTCCTTTACTCATTTCTTTTAGGGAGAGATCACTGAATATGCCTCTAAGGAGATGCCTGTAACTCTGTCAGATTTCACATGTGGATTTTCTGTGTACGCTGTCTACAGTGTCATACTCATACAGGTCTTCTATTTTGTCAATACGGTGCATGTTTTTTTTGGGGGTGGGGAAGGACAGAAATTCTGCTAGCACATCTTCTGTAGTGCTGTGACAGACAACAGAGACTGCATAGGGCGTTGAGTTTTAACTCACCCCTACATTGTTCTGCTCTACTCTTTGGATTTGTGGGCTTTGTGTTGCAACTTAAGAAAGCAGAGGACCTCCTTGCTTTGTTAGCATCAAACCTGGATTTTGTCCTGGAATTGTTATACACCCTAGCATTTTGGACATTATTTTTTCAACTGAATTCTCATTATTATAAATAGCATAATATGGAAGACATTGAAGGTAAACAGGACTGAAGTCTCCAGGGAAGAAATGTGTAGACTACTTTCTTTGACTCTGAATTTCTTTGCAAACTACTTAGTGCATGTTCAACACACTCTGAACAGACATGAATATTTTCTAGGGTAGATTTAAAACAATTACAGAGGGAAAAATACCTTTAAATAGACACAGAAAACTACTGCTGTTGCACTAAAAAGTAAATAAAGTTACTGCAGGGGCCTTATCCATGAGGGGATAAATTACCCTAAGCCCTACAGGAACAAAAGCTGTAAGATTGTAAAGTTATATTGCAATAAGTCGCCTATTCAGAAAAGTGAGTGGAGAAATCTAAATGTAAAGCATAAACTAAAACATCACAGTCCTCATACACATGGAAATTTGGGACCACTAGGCAGGGAGATGAG